CATCCCTGCATTCCCTGACAACGTTCCTGTATTTATCCCAAGTGGCCTGTCCTTTTTTCCACATTCTATATACTGCTTTCTTCTGCTGGAGTTTTGTCAGGAGCTCTCTGCTCATCCACGCAGGTATTAGAGAGAATTTAACGTTTTTAGAAGAAGGGGCAGGCAACTTAGAAAGAGAATGAGCAAGTTGCTAGGATATATAGGGAGATAATTAGAAAGGCAAAAACTCAGAGGGAACGCAATCTGGCGACCGTTGTAAAAGACAACAAAGGAGGTGGAGTGCGTGGAAGATGGCTTTCTATCACAGCTGGTAAATGAGCCTACCAGGGAGGAACCTCACTGGACCTCCTCGTTGTGAACAGAGAAGGACTGGTGGGAGATATGGCGATTGGAGGTCGTCTTGGGCATAGTGATAGTGAAATGAGAGGGTTTTCAACCCACAGTGAAGCCAGGCGAGGCATCAACAGAACYGTTGCGTTAGACTTCTGGAGGGCTGACTTTGGCCTGTTTAGGACATTGACTGGGAGAGTCCCACAAGAAACAAAGGGAAAAGGGATCCAAGTAGCCTGGACTTTTCTCAAGAATCCTTGAAGTGCAGGGACAGGTGGTCCCCATGTGCCATAAGATGTGCTGGAGGGGAAGAAGACTGGCCTGGCTCAATAGGGACCTATTGCAGAGACTGCAGGAAAAAGGAGAATTTAACATCTTTAGGAGATGTGACAGGCCGCTGAAGAAGAGAACTAGCAAGTTGCTAGGGTAGGTAGAGAGATAATTAGAAAGGCGAAAGCTCAGAAAAACTCAACCTGGTGACTGTTGTAAAAGACAACAAAGATGTTTCTACAAATACATTAACAGGAATAGGAGGGTCAAGGAGACTCTCCATCCTTTACTGGATGTGATGGAGTACGTTGTCACCAAGAATGAGGCCAAGGCTGAGATACTTAATGCTTTCTTTGCCTCAATCTTGAACAACCAGACCAGTTATTCTGGAGGTACTTGGCACCGTGAACTGGAAGACACCTGTAGAGTGCAGAATAACACCCCATAATCCCGGAGGGAACAGTCAGTGACCTAACACTGCACTTGGACAAACACAAGTCTATGGTGGCAGAGGGGACCCGGTCATGGGTTCTGAAGGAGCAGGCAGATGTGCTTGTCAAGCCACTCTCCATTTACAAGAGGAGTTGAATAGAGGATCCGGGCAACTACAGGCCTGTCAGCCTGATCTCTGTATCAGGGAAAGTTATGGAGCACATCATCTTGAGGGTGTTTGCACAGCCTGTGTGCGACAACCAGAGGATCAGGCCTGAGTTCATGACAGGCATGTCCTGCCTTCAGGACAGGTCTCCTGATCTCCTTCTGTGAGCAGGTGACCTGCCTAGTAGATGAGGGAAATGCTATGGACGTGGTCTACTTAGACTTTAGTAAGGCCTTTGACACAGCCTCTCACTGCTTTCCCATAGAGAAGCAGATAGCTCATGGCTTTGACAGCTGTACTCTTCACTGAGTGAACAACTGTCTGCATGGTCATACCCAGAGAGTGATGGTTAAATCCAGCTTGAGATTGGTCATGAGTGGCATCCCCCAGAGGTCCATGTTGGGGCTGGTCTTTAATATCTTTTTCAATGATCTAAATGAGGAGATGGAGCGCCCCCTCAGCCAATTTCCAGACGACACCAAGCTGGGAGGAAGAGTTGATCTGCTTGAGGGGAGGAAAACTCTACAGAGGGATCTGGACAGGCTGAATCGATGGGCTGAGGCCAACTCTATGGGGTTCAACAGGACGAAGTGCTGGGTCCTGCCTTTGGTCACAACAACCCCATGAAACGCTACTGGATTGGGGCAGAGTGGCTGGAGAGCTGTGTGGCAGAAACGGATGTGGGGGTGCTGGTCAACAGGCAGCTGCACATGAGGCAGCAGTGTGTCCAGGTGGCCAAGCAGGCCAATGGCATCTTTGCTTGTATTACGAACAGTGTAGCCACCTGGAGCAGGAATGTGATCGTGACCCTGTCCTCAGCATGGGTGAGGCCACGCCTTGAATAACTGTGTTCAGCTTTAGGYTCCACCCTACAAGAAAGACATGGAGGTGCTGGAACATGTCCAAAGAAGGGCAAAGAAGGATTTACAGTTGTACTCAATGATTTTTAGGGTCTTTTCCATCCATAATCGTTCTATGATTCCTGGACCTTCCCCTTTTCTGCTGCTTTGATAAGGTGGCTCACCCCATGTGTTGACCCGGGAGATGAGAAAGGAAGGTTAAAGACTGGAGACAAGGCCAAGGGTTTCTCCTCGAGTTTCTAGCAGCAACTTGGTCATGTCTCCTGCATTTTATAAATACATTAGTTTGGCTCCACTCTGCATGTTTCCACTTAATCAATCTGCAAAACAGAGTGGCAGCAGCTCTTGTTTGGGAGCATCACGTGGTAGAAAAAACTCCTTGGGTCAACCCATCATCTTCTGCCCTTGTGTACCTCAAGGCCACCTGGCCAAACCCTGTGCCCAAGGTAACCTTGCGGCAAGGGAAGGACACNCCGGCACTCCTCCTGGATCCGCTCCCCCAAGCTCTTCTTGCCCAGGCCAAAGTTTCTGAGCGTGGTCAGGGCAAATCTTCTCTGCTGTTTCCATAAATGCCCATTAGAGGAGATCAGCCCTGGAATAAAAGGACAAAAAAATATCCCACCGTGAGGTAAGGGAGTTCCTGTTCTCAGGAAGAAAAAGCGTTACCTCTGCCATTTGCAATGGCAGAGCAGCCAAGGGCATTATGGTGGTCACAGGCAGTTTCATTCATGGGCTCACAGGTGTTGTGCAGGGTCCACCTTTAGACTTTCTGTCCCAAATACACATGCTAGATGAACTCACCGCGTTGGCTAAAGAGTTCAGTTTCAAGAGGGACTTCTGGTCGATCTAGGAAGTTTTCGCCTTGGTTTACCAGCATCTCCTTTACCATCTCAACTTTGTTGATGAYAATGTAGCTCATGCCAGCCAGGTCTGTGCTGAAGATATCCCCATATTTTTTACTAAGCTGGAAGGGAAAAACAAATGATCAAACGCGTGGCTAACAAAAACAAATGATCAAACCAATGGATAAGAAAGCTCAGTAGAGAAGCGACAGACAGGAAATCCCAAGCCATGAGCTGTTGCCAGCGACCTGAGCAAAGTCACAGTGAACTTCGGAAGTTCCATCTGCATATGAAGATCTTCTAAAGCCGCCTGCATGTGCCATTGTGCCATTTGCTCTAAGTGCCCCTGATAGAGAGTGGGGAGAGGAGTGGACTAGTTTATCCCTAGAGATCTCTTCCAACCTCAAGCAATCTGTGATTCTGTGTGATTAGGAAAGTCGGGATTAGGAAGGGAGGGATAATCAAGAGGGTATATATTAAAGTGGATGGTGGATCATGGAAAGGCCTCTGCCACCTAGCCCCTTCCTGTCAGCCCTTGGGTCTCTTTGACTCTCAGCACTCTTTACCTTTTCGATCCCTCTCAGAGGGTCGGCGAAGTCCATGGAGAGGATATTCCCCAGGAAGGGGAGGGAGAAGGGTCCCGGCGGGAAGTTTTTGGGCTTCCTCTTCTTCATGTAGTCAGCGATGAGCAGGAAGACGACGAGGAAGAYCAGGAGGGTCCKTATGGAGAGGSTGGAGACRCCCTCGCTCAGGAGGCGCAGCATGGCGAGGCTCATGATGCCGGCAGCCCCAGGCGTCCGGATCCGCGCCCGGAGCTGGGCAAAGTGCACAGGGAGACAGGCACCCGCGAGCAAGCTGCTTGTGCAAMTGCCCTCCCACCCGRCACGCCTGCCCGTCCGGTCGAGTTTACAGTTATAACGCAGATCTAGTCTTTGATGCTTGCCAGGGGCACACCAGAGACACCAGGCTGGAAAGCCTCACTGACGCCGCCTGCTCTGCTCTGCGTTGCCGCCTCCTTCCCTCAGTGCCAGCGGCTGTGATGGAGCCCAGCCAGGAGCTCGGCTTGTGCTTCCTGGTTGCTCTGCAG